GGTGAAGCCTCAAGCTGCCCCTGAGCCTCTGGCCTGTACTCCCGTTCTGTATGCACAAATAAATAAATCTTTAAAAAAAAATGCAGGGAATCATTGGGCAGTTTCCCACAAGAAACACAACTACCCACAAAATTTAAAAGGTCACCCGTATTAGCAGACAGAGAAATTACCCATTCAAGTTGGGTAAGTCAAGGGAAAAAACTGTTAGCTTGGCCAAAGGATACCAAAAAACAGGCACTCCCCACCTATACATGTAGACATTTCTGCACACTTTTTGGAGTAAAAATTGATAGTGACCTTGACCCAACTATTTCACTTTGATAAATTTCACAATTTATATAGAAATATCACCCCTTATACAAGTACTCACCCAAGTGTGGGTAGATTTTATATGTTCTTTGTAGCGTTTGTAGTAGGTCTTCTTGCTTCCAATGTTTTCTTTTGAATTAAACAACTAATTAAATTAAAACACTAACCAGTAGCCACCTCCATCTTTACTTCTACCCTCTCCCCCTCCGGTCACCTCACTGGACAACACCCTTCTTAAAATGCCCATCTGGAGGGCAATGGTGCAGTAAGTCATAGTATACCCTGCAAAGCAACATGCAATATTCTGTAGCTGTCAAAAAGAATGGCGTGTATCTCTGTCTGCCCACGGGACTGTCCAGATATACTTAGCAGGAATACAACATTGTAAAACGTACCTTTATTTTCTTTTAACATGTCTCTTGTCTGAATTGAACAGCAAGCATGGACCAAGCTGTTAAATGTGGTTACCTATATGGGGTGGGATTTGCAGAGGGGTTCCAATTATTTTTTTTTTCTTACAATGCTCCTGTAATTAAACCATTTTTGAAGATGAGAGACATAATCCAAGGTGCCTGTGGAGTCTCTATAAGGACGTGGTTATTAAATCTCTCACCATGATTCTACTCTGATCACACTGCACATCCAGGGGAGCCTGGTGAAAATGTTGTTGTTTTTCAGTTAAAACCAGTAAACTGTTTACAGATTAACAGCAGCAAAGTCTTATGTATAAGTGATTTTCGTGACATAGGCATGCGGCTATCTTTCAGATAATACATTTCTTTTTGAGAGAGGGAAACTTTTGAAACATCATCACATAGCTGGCCCACTGCTCCCAGAGATGAGGAAGAGACATAACATGCAGACATATGAAACCATTTTCATGTAATACTGGCTAAAATAACTGAGAGGCATTTTTAAAATTAGGGTTACAGAGTCCAGAAGCATCTTGGATTTCAATTATTAGCAACCGAGTTTAAAAGTCCTATTAAATGAATGTGAACCCCTATGTGTGAGATAATTTCCAACCCTCAAACAAAATCTTTTATTTTTCAGAAACAACACAAGATATCCAAAAGGTAAGCACCATTATATTTCTTGTTTTTACATATGTGTTACCTTTCCTTACCTAATCTGACCCCTAACTGAACAAACCACACCCAATATGGCCGCTGGGCAAGAGGCTCAATGAACAGGTCCTAGAGAACTGCTCGTGGCTTCTTGTTTTATGTTCTGTCTCTAACGACTCAGCCGGTATCCCACTTCAGCACTCCTGACGCAGCCAGTGTGTGTTCTGAGTTCACAGGCAGTCCATGGTTTTTCTGTGAGGAAAAAAGTGGACCAAGAATTATGATTCATTAGTTTTTTTATTTTGAACTTTTAATAGAAAGGTAACATTCAGGGTGAAATTTTCTTACTTTCACAATTCTTCTTTCCCTTCTCTGACAGACTGTCAGGCAAGCAGACAAATATATTGATGAGTGGATATTCAAGGCAATGTTTCCTAGTTTCAATGAGAAGCAATGAAATGTTCTTGTTAACTTGATATTTCCAATGATAGTATCTTGGTCAGAAAATAGGTCCCTGGCACTGTTTCAACTCTTTGAAGCAACCACTCCCTCCCTGCACCATCAAACCAGATCAAGAAAAACTCCAAGTTAGGGGAAAAAAACAAAACAAAACATTGTTTTCTTTGATTAGAAATCATTAATCTGACTCATATTTTACTTCCTAAGGGACACCTAGATATTATAGCATTTTAACATCTAGAAATTATTTAATTAAGCATATTTTGAAAGAGAAGGGAAATATCATTCACTTAGTAATAGATTTAATTACTTTCCTTTAACAAAGGCTCTCTGCTTAGAATTTATCAGCCAAGGCAGTGCTGGTGAGGTTCAAGGTGGGTCCACACACTTTGGAATATGTAGTCAGACCCCTGATGGAGCTTCTGGTCTACTAGAAACTATGGTAAGAGTCTGAGTAGAGTTCCAAATAGAAATAAGATACTGCTGGAGAGAAATAGACATATCCATTTATATAGTATTTACCAATTAGCTCTGCTGTTTGCACATGAGAATTATTTCAATTTCTAGGGGCTTTGTGTATATCGCTGATTCCTACAATGAGCAACAGATAGAGTCCTAGCCTTAATCCTGATTAGGGAGAGCAAGTTACTGAATCTTTGCGGATCTGGATCTCTTCCTATAAGCGTGATGGTGAACTTGGGTTTGCAGAGTCTATAGGTAGTCTCACCGAGTTTCTAAATAAACATTAGTTCCTGTCCCCTCTACTCTTGTTGCAAAAAATCTCAAGTGATTTTCCATGCAGTTCAAGCCAACACTGTTGACTTTCTCAGTGCAGATTATGCTCTGGGGGGAGGGGCAACGTGGAAAGGTGCTACGTCATCACTTGTGTACCATGGTGCTGCAGTCCAATCAATGTGTCTCTCTCCACCTCAGGTTTCCCGGGAGGAAGGGTCTCCGCGTCTCACTTCAGCAGGGCCGTCTCCCGCCCAGAGGAATAGTCAGCCAAACAGTTCTGCCATCATCAGCGTGCTTCGTGGGGGTGGGGCCGTCAGGAACATCTGGACTGACCACCAGATCCGGCAAGCCTTGTTCCCCAGCCGACGGTCCCCACAGGAGAACGAGGATGATGAAGATGACTACCAGATGTTCGTGCCATCTTTCTCCTCATCAGATTTGAACTCCACCAGGCTGTGTGAAGAGAGCACCTCCAGTCGCCCCTGCAGCTGGCATATGGGCCAGATCGAGTCCACAGACACTCCCAGCCCAGGCCACAGGGTTGTTCGGCGGGCCAGCAGTGCCGGTGAGAGCAACACGTGTGCCCCTGAGGTCAGAATCAGGGACACTGATGGCTCTCAGTACAGCCCCCCAAGGACACTGCACAGTGACCCCAAAACAGAAGGGCAGGATGGAATGACTCCCTTTGGGTCATCCATAGAGTTGACTATCGATGATATAGACCATGTCTATGATAATATAAGTTATGAGGACTTAAAACTAATGGTTGCTAAGCGAGAGGCAGCTGAATCCACCCCCCTCAAGTCCACCAGGGAGTCTGCTCGCCCCAAGAGCACCCCGGAATTAGTATTCTCTAAGAGGCAGGTTGGCTATGACAAGAGCTCTCTGTACCCAAAAAGAGATGGAACTCTGACAGGGCAAGAGGCATCCAACCAAAGCACACATGACCTTGAGGTGGTGGAGGAAAATATCTATGACACGATTGGGTTCCCAGAGGCCTCTGCTCTGGGTGAGCAGAGCAGCAGCCTGAAGCGGCCCAAGAGGAGCAGCTTCCTAGGTCTGGAGGCCGACTTTGCCTGCTGCGACAGCCTCAGGCCCTTCATGTCCCAGGACAGCCTCCAGTTTAGTGAAGATGAAACTCCTCACCACCAGGCATCAGCTGAAAGTGAGTATTTGAGTTTGCTGTATAAGTCTCCCAGCTGCAACTTGTCCATGACGGACAAGTCAATATCTGACAAACTCTCGGAGGAAGTAGACGAAATCTGGAATGACCTGGAGAATTACATCAAGAAAAATGAAGACAAGGCCAGGGAGCGGCTCCTCGCAGCATTTCCGGTCAGCCAAGACGACGTGCAGGGCCGGCTGCACCCCGCCAGCATGCCCAAGCTGAGCAGGGACACGGCACATGCGCTGTCTTCCCTCTCGCTGCCTGACAGCCCGGCCTTCCTCACACCACCAACAAACAGGCCTGGCAGAGCTAGCAGGTCCACCTGCCCCTTCAAAGAAGACTTGATTTCTAAGGAAGACGCCTTCATGAGCCTTCCCCGGCTCTCTCTGGCCAGTGACATACCTCCCATGGAGAACCCCTATGACCTGGCCAACAGCAGCCTGTCCCAGGCAGACCTGGAAAACCCTGACTCCGGGGTGGATGCCTCGGATAAGACCAAGAGCAGGGTCTTCCTGATGGCCAGGCAGTACAGTCAGAAGATCAAGAAAGCCAACCAGCTTCTGAAAGTGAAAAGCCCAGAGCTGGAACAGCTGCCAGCCTCCCAGCAGCACAAATCCATGCACAAAGACCTGGCTGCCATCTTAGAAGAAAAGAAGCAAGGAGGGCCAGCTATCGGTAGGTTCCTCCACACGCCTGATTTCCTTCTCCAAACTAAGATGGGAAAGCAGCTTCCAGGCTCTCGATGGGCTTAGCGCTGTGAGAACATTATCACTCAGGTGCTCATTTTCTCAGTGGGAGATCAGAGAATTTGAAAACAGCACATCGAAGTGTCTCTTGCTTTACCCCTGGAGTCTTGAGGGTCAGAGCCTGATTGGGCCTCAGGGCTCTTATATTGTTGTCACTACAGAATCAGGGTGTTACGATGTTAATATAATCTGGTTATATTATAACATAATATATGTAAAGTATAATCTAGTATAATACATTATGATATAATTGGTGAACCAAAAATAGCAATTGGTTCCTCCTGGGAAATGTAGTATTTCTCTGTGGGAGGGAGAGGAGGAACAGGTGTGAGCAGTCGGGCCTTAAAAGCATGAGCAGCAGGAACGCTCCGCTCCAGAATCTCCACAAAAAACACCTGCTTATTCTCACAAAGACGGCGACTGTTTTTGCATTTTTTTTTCCTGAGCTGCTTGCTCTGTGACGCAAGTATTTTCTCACATGTTTCTGTCACAGGATTTCTCAGTAGCTGCTACTGTGTATGTAAAACCATCTCACTTGGTTTTCTCTTGTGTGCTTCCAAGAAGTCTCATCTTCCAGCCACACCATCTTTGCAGTGCAGAACTCTACTAAGATCTCAAGCCTGACATTGACCCCTTGAGGGCTAAAGGCTGGTTTGATGTTGTGTTATAAAGAAGCTCATACCCCAGGGCAAAGTTAGGGAGGATCCAGAAGGGCAAACTGATTATGAATAAAGCAGGTAAGTGTCAGGGAAAGAAAATTCCCAAGGATTCCGGAGCTTTTTACCTTCAGACCTGGAGTGATTCCTGGGGCTACCCACAGGACTCTGCACCCTAAAACTGTAGCCTTTCCACCATCTTTTAAAACTGCCCGAGATTTTGTAACAAAGCATCACCTAAGAATCAAATGACAGGAGGTAATTCTTTGGTTAGAAGGAAAGGGGAAGGTATCTTTCAGGGAGGTTTAGAGGCTCAGTGAGGACATGGCCCAGCTGGCCATGCTGACACCCTAACCTCTTTTCTTTGGGTTTGATTTCTTTATCTCTGTGGACACCAGGGAATAATAAGGGGCAAATCCAAAATAAATCCACAAGTGGTAGCATGTTGAAAATATATAAGAATTTTTTTCCCTTTAATTTGGGGGCATTTTAGAATTGTCTAAAACTTCTTTTTCTTGAGCTAATCATCCAGTAAAACATCTTTTAAAAGATAGGGGAGGTAATCCTTGGATTTTATAGACTTCCTAGAGTTGTTCTTCATTTTAAAGAAAAGGTAGGGGTGAATTTTGTGTGCATGTGAGGGAGAGTAGGTCGCACACGTTTCTCCTGGTGAGAGTGAATGCATGCCCTTTCTATGCTAGTATTGCTGAACTGGTTTGTTACGTGTAGACTGAGTGCCTGGGTATCAGCTGCAGAGGACTGGCGGAGGGATTGGAAAGCACTGGAGACAGTCCTGTGTTGGCAGCTCAAGCTAATGGCATCTGGGCTAGTGCTTACAGAATGCGCAAAAGTATAATACCGGGGTTCTGACTATGAGTTCTGCCAGCAGACTGTCCTTTAAAAGCGATTGTCACTGGGCCCGACATTGTTGAGAATAGACCATCCAGTCAGAGGGACCTGGCTTCGATCCTGATGGAAGCCAGTCCTTCAACACTGACTGCTCAAGCTTTACCACTGCCTGGAGCAGTCTTCCAATGCCCTCCTCCCAACCCCCCACTTTAAGTTGATTTCCCATTGGGGGTTTCCTTTTGCTTTTTTTCATGTTGGGCTTGTTCTTTTTCATTTGCCCCCGGCATCTTCCGGGAAATCCCATGGGATCTTTTCTCAGCTTGTCTGGGTCTTCTTGACATGGTGGGCTACTATCGACATTCTCCCCAGCTGAGAGGAGAAGATCTCCCCAAAGGCATCCTCTGGAGCGGCGACTCCTCCTGCTACCCACAGGAGCACATCCCTAGGGCCTACCAGCTCTCGGACCTGAGGAACTTCCATCCGGGTGGCTCGAGACCACTTCCTGTGCCCACGAGGCTTTCACTCAGTTGACGTGATGACTCCTTTTCTCTCTCTCGTTTATCTGGGCACAGGACGTCGTAGTCGCACGGACCGATTCTCCAGACTTCTTCGTGCGGGCCTTGCCACTTTGCCAGGAGCTTGCTCTCGGTGCTGTACAGAAGGAGGAGCACCCTATTCACCTGCTGAAACTCTCGAGCACCTTTATTGAGCTGTCTAGCCGGGGTCTACAGGCCCCGGGGCAGATTCCCGCCTCTCAGTCACCCAACCAGGTCTAGTCACTCCCTCATCAAAGCCGTGGTAGCATGCTCACCCTCCCTTTCAGTCAGGCCTCCTCCTGAGAGTCTCTGGGACCAGGGAGGCCTCTGGGGTCTTTTCGTGTGTGTGTGTGTGTGTGTGTGTGTGTGTGTGTGTGTGTGTGTGTGTGTGTGGTGCTTGACATGAAGACATTTCCATATAGCTGTGGGGAAGTTTCTTCTTGTGTAAACTAAGGAAGCCAAAGAGCACAGATTGCCTTGGTCTACTTTTCAAACATCAGAAATAATTATTTTAATTCTCTGGAAACAATATATTCTTTTTTTTTAATAATTTTTTAAAAGATTTATTTATGCATACAGAACTGGGGTACAGGCCAGAGATGCAGGGGCGGTGACCAGAGACAGAGTGGGGAGCAGAACAGCCAACTGATGAAGTACACTGCTGAGCGGAGCAGCATACAGGGTCAGGAGAGGTCTGCTGTGCCCTGTGGGTCAGTTCCCTGGCTGGGGATCAAATCTGTGCTGCAGTGGCTGTGGATTGTTTCATAGTGCTGAGAGTTAACCCCTTGTGCCAGCAGGGTGGCTTGATTAAGGAGTTTAAGAGCAACTTCTGTCTAGATATATGCTCAGTACTACGGAGGACTTATTCTCCAAGATTAAAGCTCATGGACCACAGGGACAATAAAATAACTCACATAAATGAGCAACACAGGACTCCTTGTACTCACAATCAGTAGATAAGTATTATGGTACACACTGTGTTCACAAGACTTCAAAGAAGAAAAAGCAGTCAGAGAAGGATTTATAAAGGGTCGGGCTTATGGAGGATTTTGAGAGATGCGTAGGACTTGATCAAGCAGAGGAAGGGAGGAGTGTGATAAAGAAGGAAACGGCAACAGAAATACTGTGGGTTGTCTGGATCATCTGGGCAACTATGTTTTAAGATCAAGAGTTAGTTGTTTTAAGACTTTATGGTTATGTTTAGGTACTGAAATGTTCCAACCACCTTAATTAGCTCTCACAACTTCCCCCCAAATTATCATCTTCCTAGAAAATTGTGAAAGTTCAGATCCTTCCTGATTTCAGCTGTGGAATAGGGCTCGGGCCATCGCCGAAGTGAGATGGTCTGGGCAGACAGAGGGGATGCTAATGACTGGGTCTGAAGGTCTAGATGCCAAGAGTTGGATTTCATAGTCAATGGAACATTACAGATTCCAGGCCAGCTCATACAGGCAACACACAGACTTCCAATCATGAGAGATTGCTCAGTCTTCATTGGTATCAACTATCTTTACCCTTTAAGCAATAATGCCTCAAAGTTTTTGTTACTAGAAATTCTAAACTAGTCATCTCTGTTCTCCAAGGAATTTGGACTTGGAGAACCATAAGGACGTGAATGTAGAGCATATAATGAAAAATTAAGCATTGTTTACCCTGATTGGAGAGTGGGGGCACAAAAACTTGAGGTGGTTGCAATTCAAGCACATATAAAACAAAACCAGACCATTTTCTGTCCTCATAGATAAGAGGCTCCAAAGAAATAGCAGAAACTCGACTAAATATTTAAATGCAGGGAGTAACTTACTACAATAATTTACTAAAAAGTGACATAGCTTTATAGAAGGAGAAAATGACACAGCCCTTGCTGGTCACTGTGTCTGGGACAGACACCCGAGTGGTGTGAGTACTCCATGGGGTGAATGGACTTCTTTGGTTCTGGGGTGGTCGTGTAGCTAGCTGGCCTGGAGAGGTAGGCAAGATGGCTCTTGAAATTGACATCTCTGAACGCCCCCTTTAACTCCTTGCTGGTTTAAGTGATGTCCATGTCAGGGTTCAGCTAATGTCCTCAGAAACGCCTGTACTCAGAAGAGGAGCAGAGGGAAGGGACTCAGAGCTTAATTTGAAGTGCCAAGAGCTCTGATGGGAGCCTGTTCTGGGGTCATTCATAGTGCACTCCCCACAGTTCACCCTAATGTCTCAGTGCCACAGGTCTCAGTGCCCGACTCACTGTGCCCAATGCCCTGAGGCTGAGGAGTGATGTGTGTAGGTCAGTGCACGTGGCTTTAAAGAACAGGAAGTAAGGCTGGTTCCCCAGACCAGGGCTTTGGAGTTGGCTGGAAGCAGGCGATGCAGGAAGGAAGGAGCACACCCTGGAGAGTAAACATCTGAGAACAGTTGAGAGGGGCAAGGAGCTGGCGTGGGCAGCAGCCGCACGGCCCTAGTGACTGCTTGAGTGTGTTGCCATCACCCAGGGGGTCAGCACTGGCTTTGTTTTTTTGGAGTGTGTGTTTTTTTAAATATTTATTTATTTATGCATACAGAACTGGGGTACAGGCCAGAGGTGCAGGGGCGGTGAGAGGATTCACCAGAGACACATGGGGAGCGGAACAGGCAGATTGACGAAGTACATTGCTGAGGGGAGCAGCAGGCAGGTCAGGAGAGGTCTGCCACGCCATGTGGGTCACCTCCAGGGCCAGGGATCGAACTTGCACTGAAGCGGCTATGGCTAGCTTGCAGTGCTGTGTCATAACCCTGATGTGTGTTTTTTAACCCTGATACCATTTTGTGTTTGCAAACACTTGAAGTTTTTCATTACAAACAGTGAGCTCATGTAGACCTGTTGCTGAAATACAACAAGCCAGGATCAGATAAATGAATGTCTGGGGTGTTTTCGTTTTCAGTGGTAGACTTTGGTTAGTGTTGCTTAGTATTTGATGATGACTTGGTCTCACACTGACGTGCAAGTCTTTTTCACTGTGTAAATGGGTATACTCTGCTGGCTAGAACATTATATTCACATTTTTAATCTTCATATGTGCAAATACTCCTGTGTATACTTATATTATGATGTTTGCCTTCCAGGGGCCAGGATCGCTGAGTACTCCCAACTGTATGACCAGATCGTGTTCAGAGAGACTCCCTTTAAAACGCCAAAGGATGACTGGGCCACCTCGCAGGAACCTCGGGCTGTCTCTCAGGAACTTTCCATGCTCAGGTCTTCCTCACCCTCCCAGGCCCAGCGTGGTAGCGAGGACTGGCTTTTGCATTCAACCTACAGCAATGGAGAGTTGGCAGATTTCTGTCCCCGGCCTGAGCAAGACTCAAAGTCAAGATACCCCACTTTTGAGATCAATATAAAAAATACTCCAAGACAGTTGTCCACAGCTTGCTCAGTGCCTTCTCTACAAACCTCTGAACCACTGCTGGGCCCCATGCAGAGACACAGTGTGGTGGTCAGCCAGCCCCACAAAGACAGCTCATGCCAGGGCCTTTACAACTCGTTGGGTCGGAAGGGAGTGAGCACGAACACTCAGCCTTACAACAGATCCCAGTCCTCTTCCTCCATCTTGATCAACAAGTCTGTGGACTCCATTAACTACCCCGGTGAAATGGGGAAGAAACAGCCATTCTCTCTCCATGCCAGCTCTAGGTGTGACAGCCACCAGAACTTGCTGCCAGGCCTCACCGACTCGTGTCCACAGGGCTCTGAAAAGTGCTCGGACCTCACCCTCCAAGACTCACAGAAGGTTCTGGTGGTCAATAGAAATGTCCCCTTCAGTGCCCAAATAGCTACACAGAACTACTTTTCCAATTTCAAAGAAACTGACGGCGATGAAGAGGACTATGTGGAAATCAAGTCAGAAGAGGAGGAGCCAGAGTTACAGATCTCCCCCAGCTGTGCAAGGAAATCTGACCCAAAGATCATGGACACCAACAGTCCACACACCCCAAAAAAGACAATCAGCGGCAAACTTGGACTTCCGCCTTACCTGACCCCGTACAACGACTCTGACAAACTGAACGATTATCTCTGGAGGGGTCCCTCTCCCAGTCAGCAGAACATCGTCCAGTCTCTAAGGGAGAAATTTCAGTGTCTTAGCTCAAGCAGCTTTGCCTAGGATTCTTCACTGTGGCTGTCTGACCGGACTTCTTAGCATGCTTGTGATGAGAGACCGGGGAGGTGTTTTCTGTGAACCAGATGAAAACCTTGTCGTAACCACCAGAGGTGTAACATACACTTTGTTTTATAGCACAACTCTCTGAGAAGCCAGGATTGTGCTGTATGTAGCGAAGTCAGCCGAAGCTGACTTCTTGTCATGTAAGTCAGTCTTACTTGAAAATGTTCAGGCCTTTTTAAAAACACAGCGGAGGTAATTCTTTCTCCCATGTCCTGACAACAGCACCCAGACCTCTCCTGGGGTCTAAGGGCCATGAGTAGTTTCATCCTAGGGCCCAAAGGTAGCAAGGCCTTTTCTCCCATGCCCATGACTTAAAAAGGAAAAGGAAGCTGTTGGATGATGCTTCCGGCACGTTTATTCCCCGTGATCCTAGAGTCTCTTCAGCCAATTGGAGTGTCGCCTCCAGGGCCATATTGGGGTTCTCTGCTGGTATTCCTACACCCCTTCCTTAAAATACAGACACTGCAGCTATTGGAAATAGAATGTAGCAGGACCAGCTTTCTCTGAAATCCTTTCCTGTATTCCTGGACCAGACCTGGAGAAGGTGCTGCTCATTGCGTTAATTTTATGGTTTCTGAGATAATATAAATGATTCCCTTAGTGGCTTAGAGAGAACCAAGTGCAAGGATATGCAGATCGACTTCACTGATGGAAAAGATGGGCTGACCCTGGGCACCTGTCTGCTCCTGGCGTGACCCGACGGGAAAGCCTCTCCTGCTGTTGGTGTGCTGTATCTGATCAGCTCGAAGCAGGCCACAAGCTAAATTAAAACAGAGCTCTCTCCCTTTATTTTTTCTATGATTTTCATGTTTCTCCTATGTATGCTCGTGAGTGGATACTCAGCCCTCTGACCCAGTTCCAGCTTGAAGGTTGCTCTGCTGCAGTGAAATTTCTAAACGTGGGAGCCTCTGACTGTTTTGAGGCACAAGAAAGGACACCGTCGTGGGTTACTAAGCTCTGACAAGAGCATCTCTTTTTTTGTTACAATTAAGGTCTTCTCAGCGTGGTTCATTGTGATATCATGTACTGATAATAACTTTTTGGAAGAAACTGGAGAAAGCAAGACCTTGTGAGTAAAAACTGTTCAAAAAGCTCAAGAGGAAAACACAGTGAATGCACTGTGTTGCCAGTTTTTGAAAGACTGTTTTATTGAAGACTCCCGTCAGTGCAACAAAATGTTTCCTTCAACAGTGGCTTATGTGTTCTCGTGGTAAACCACTTTGCCTTCGGTGATCCCTTCTCAGCCCTCAGTTTTCATTTTTAAAAGTTACGATAATATGTGTAGAGAAAGGGGGTTTGGCTTTCCACGTCAAGGTAAGCAGTGAGACTGACTTGAGTCAGTGGCTCCTTGTCATTCTTCCCCCTGGCAAGTCCCCTCTCTAACCACGCAGCGAGGCCATCCCTTCACAGAGAGGCATTTTGCTTTTCAAAGAACAAAAAAACTCCAAGTTCCTTGCCAGGCCATCCTTTCTTCTTTAGCTTGTAAAACAATGTCCACGTTGGATAGCAGGATTCTGGACACATTTCTTTCGTTGCCTTTCTTTGTGTGACGTGGGTTTGCAGAAAAGGGCAGCACACTGCCACGAACTCTGTAAGATCATTTGTACAACTTTCAGGACGTCCTGTCCCAGGAAGGCAGTGCTCCATTTTCGCTTTTCCGTTTGTAGGACAAGGATTCTGTCAGCTCTCTGTTACTGTCGTTCTTCCTCACAGAAGTTATTCATTCTTCACACCAGTGTCTTATCACACAACTTTGATATCACCTCTAGTCACTGCACAAGGTGAATATTTTACTGTATTTAATGTCTGTGTTTTGTCTTTAGGTTCTAGAACAAATCTGTAGTTTTATAGATCACTTCTGTGTGCCAGGTTGAAGATTTTGAGAGCTGTGTGTATATGTATAAAACCATGTTCATAGTCTGCCTCAAGATTATCAATGAAGAGCTTTTGTTGAAACATTTTCTTTTGGAGGTGGGGTAGGGGTGTATATAATTAGGGGGGAGTTATATGTACTTAAAAGTATGGCAGGTTCTTACTAGGTCTCTGTACTGAATGTTCAGTTTTTTTTTTTGTTTTTTTTTTTATAAGTTCACTTTTCACCTACTCTATTCTTTGTGCAAAATACCTGCAAAATACTAGAAAACCATAGTTTAAATACTGTACATAAGATAATGAAAGTTAGTAATGCTCTTTATTTAATAAAGTTTGTAAAGTACAAAGCAAATCACAGTGTGAATCAATGTGTTTGTTCTAGAAAGGTCAAGAGTATTCCAAACTACATTTAGTTATAACACTTGTCTTGCTTATGAGCAGAAAATGGTTCAGGTAACAATAATATGCTTTTTTTTCTGTGGTGCCTGATACATCATTTTCTGTACTTTGGAAATACTAGGCTTATGTGTATAGTATTATGTTTCTCTTTTTTAAAGATTTATTTATGCTTACAGAACTGGGGTACAGGCCAGAGGTGTGGTTAGGTGAGAGGATTCACCAGAGACAGATTGGGGAGCAGAACTGAAATGCACTGCTGAGGGGAGCAGCAGGCAAGCGAGTAGGGGTCTGCTGTGCCCTGTGGGTCAGCTCCCTGGCTGGGAATCAAACTTGTGCTGCAGTGGCAGCAGAGAGCTTCATGGTGCTGAGACTTGGGAACCCCTTACACCACCAGGGAGGGCTCAAGTGTGCAGCAGTATTAATTTTCTTGATAAGTGGGTAAGTTAAAACAATCATTACAGGTTTTCTTACTTATAGTAGGGAAAGGTGTCCTTTTAACTTTCATTATTTTGAGTCAAACATGGATGTAAACATTTGGCACAAAGTAAGATTGTGTTCATGTAATTTCACCTTCCGGAGGTTCTGGGTTTTGCCTGTATATGTGTGTGGGGTGGGGGGAAGTAGACAATTTTACAGGGAAAAGTATGTTGCTATAAGTTGTTAATTCTACTTTCTAAAGGAAGTCTATTTCCAAATAGAAGCATAAAACTTAATTTCATTCTAATGAAAATTTAAGTTGTCTCACTTTCTTCATTTATGGAGTGGCTTTTAAATTCTTCCTCAGTGTATGAGTAGAGAGCTTCTAAACTACATTACTGTTCCACAAAGTTATCTGAGTCACAAGAGTTCGGCAACCTTAAACCAAAAGCAAGCAGATGTCATCTACAAGATTGGCTTATGCATAAACAGTAGAGGGGCAATCGGGAAGGTGCAGTTTTGTGAGGAGAGCCAGGCACGCCCCAGCATCAAAGCCAGCACCTCTGTATATTCATGTCACCTCTGGAGGGACAGGTGCTGCTCCCGAAGACACCTCCTCCTTCCACTGTAGGTCACTAACTCAAACGCTCACCTATTGTGGCACCTGGACCATTCTTCTGTACTGTTTTTCAGTTTTGTTTTGTTTTTTAAGTATGAAGATGTAATATTTTCTCACATTGAACTCATCTCAGTTTTCTTTCCTTATGGTTTATAGCATAGAACACCAAAAATCATGAGGAGCTATGCGGTCATAAAAAAGCTAATAAATGCAAGATATTCTTGCATAATTAGTATAAGTTAATAGAATGCAAGTTGCTTCGTGTAGACCGTTAAAAAGCAAAGTACACAACCCTAGAAATCTAACTGGTTTTAGCAAACAATTCATGACACGGGCGGCATCCCAAGTGGCCAGTGGAAAGGTTCTGCAAGGGGTGTCCCAGATGGAAGGCTTTAGAGTCAGAAAGAAGGCCAAAAAGAGATTCCTTCAGGTAAAGCCACCTTCCCTCATGGAGCGACAGAGGCTCTTCTCATGCCGACACCTCGCTGGCCTACCTTGGAAACTCCAGATTGATTTGTTTAAATTCCCACTCAGGAGAGAGGCTGAAACGCAATGCACTAACTCTTGTTGGGGCCTGGCATGAAGGGTTCCTTTGGGGCCTCTTGTTTCTCTTAATATCTCCAAATCTTGGCCAGTGTATTTCCAAACACACATAGAATCCTCGATAAATGAAACCAACGTTGAAACCCATCCCAACCCTGGATTCCTTCTGCTCACCACTTAGCAGCTAACCACTTTCTGTTCTCCAGCCTGGCCAGTTAAATCAGATAACATATGACCTACAATATCAAGCCCAGCTTGTTCTTCCTGAACAGATCTGCTTCTCTAGATAAAGAAAACCTAGCAACTGCTTTATTTACAATTGGAAAAACATGGAAGCAGCCCAAATGCCCAAAAGTAGATGACTGGATTAAAAAGATGTGGTACATATATACAATGGAATATTACTCAGCAACCAAAAAAGAGAAACACATGTCTTTTGCAGCAACTTGGATGGAGCTGGAAAAGATCATGCTTAGTGAGATAAGCCAGAAAGAGAAAGAAAAATACCGGATGGTTTCACTCATAGCAGGAGTATAATGGACCAGGTGGAAAATAACAAAAATAATGAACAACCATATACCAGAGACATTTTGTGGGGGTGGAGTGGGGAATGGGATCAAAAACGGGGGGGTGGGGAGTGAAGTGCATGGGATTATGGTGATGGCACATGGGTGACTTGGTGATGGGAAACCCACAGGGATTACAATTGAGATGGAAAAAAAATGTAAAAAATGATGTAAAAATAAACTGTTATAAAAAAAAAACCTACACATTAATACTAAAAAAAAAGAAAAGAAAACCTAGCAACTTGGGTGCAGTCCGTGGTCCACAAGGTTTTCATGCATCAGAAGAATATGAGTCCCAGGCTATCCACAGACAAGAGCTTCCCGATACACATGGGCTTCAGCCAACTCTGCAACCCACTGCCCCCATCCACTAAGCCCACTTCTGCTAAATGTTCAGGCCTGTGGCCTCAGCCAATGGAATTCAGCCCTTGTTCTCCCAAACTCCCAAATTGGGATACCCATCCCTCTGTCTTTTCAGGAAGGCACAGTTGAGCTTTAGTGTGCCTATTACTTGCAGAACTGGTTCTGCAGAATGGACGAAACAATTCAGCGAGATGCGAATATCTATCTCCAATCTCTGCAAATATCTATGTCCAATCTCCTACAGGCTTTGACATGGCATTCACCATCTCTGCGGAAAGTAGAACATCCCTGGTCAAGCCCAGTGATTATCTTTGGAAGGGAAAACAGTCATTGTATTTGTTGAGCCAGAATTATTACCAACTGCACAAAGTTCATCAGGTGACTACGTGCCAATCTTCTTTTAATCAGGATTGTCGGGTCTGATGGTCTATATTAGTCACTCATGGTCTAGTGCTGGTATGTAAGATCAATTTAAATCTGGTACACACAAGAAGGCCTGAGACATTTGTTTTATCGTAAGGAAGGCAGAGCCAGCTAGTACCCAATAGCAGCTTCTTTGAGATAAGTTATCAGTTCTGCCCTTTCTGACTTCTTTTTAATGCCAGCAAAGGTCACTTTTGTTCCAAGAACTTACTGCTTGGGGTTTTCCAAATGCTTACTCCATGCCTTCTCTTTCCAGGCGATGCCTCTGCTCTTGCTGGCTTCTGTGTAAGAGCATCCAATGTCCGGCCAGTCTTCTACCTAATGGGCCATGACCGCCCCTGCACTTGCCCACTTTGTCCACAGCGGGGCGCCTCTGGGAACGCCTCTGAGCAAAAATCAGCTGCTTTGGCCACATGGCTCATTTTGGGTCTCCCTTTGGTTCTACAAAGGTTCAGAGTTTAATCCTTTTGAGGAACCCCCATTTGGTTTTCCATCGTGACTATGCCATTTTACAGTGCCAGTCACAACACGCATTGCATTCATTTTCACATCTTTCCTCTTCCTTGCAATCTTATTCACTATTCATGTCCCTCTAAGTAATTGCTTGGCTACATCCAGCACTTTGACAAATTGTGTTTCCATTTTCTTTGCATTGTCTAATACCCCTTGCGATTCCTCACTGTGTCATGGGTTCTTTAGAAGTATGTTGCTTAATTTCTAAATATTGGGAACTTTTCTAAATATCTTTCATTCACTAACATCACTCAACTATGTTAGAGAAAATACTTTGTGTGAGCTAATTCTTTTAATTTTGTGGAGGCTTATTTTATGACCCAGAATATAGTCTACCTTGGCATACTTTCCTTATGCACTGGAAGATTTGTGGAAGAAGGATCTCTAAAGACCACTTCAGTCAAGTTGGGCCTCAGTTTCCCCAGTACAGTCAGTCTAATACTCAAGTCATTCTAAGTTTAGGATTCAGTAAGATGTCTCCCAACACCTGATTTGAACATGGAAAGCCAGTGCTTATAATGTGGACTCTTTTTATTCCCACATTGCTTGGGAATTATAATTTCCTAGTAAGGGAATAATTTCCAGATAAAATTATAAGCAAAATATCATTTAAAAAAAAGATTTGGTGCTGAGCGGTGAGAGGATTCAGCAGAGAGAGTGGGGAGCAGAAGAGGAATACTGACGAAGTACACTGCTGTGCCATGTGGGTCACCTCCATGGTGGGGAGTGAACTTGCGTGGAAGCAGCAGCAGCGAGCTTGCAGTGTGTGCTTTAACGCACTACATTAACCGTTGCGCCACTAGGGAGGGCCCGGTAACATTACTTTTAACAGACAATATGTCCACACTAAATTACACTCAGACAGGAGACTGTCGTTGCCAATAATCGATTGAACCAAGATTCACTGTGAGAATGACAATAACATTTCCAAGCCAGGAACATACAAGATAACATCTCCTAGTAAGCCAACACGAAATAACATTCTAAACCAATAATAGATTGATCACATCACTGTTCATTAGGGAGAGGAAAGGAATAATGTCAAACTTAGCGGAGATGTCCTTTCTGCCAGATGCTAGGAAGAGTCAGCTCCTAACCAACCAAAGGCTGACGTCCAACTACCGGCCTAAGTCTAAGTCCCCTGTTGAGGGGACCAGGTCCAGCGCACCTGCGCGGGTGGGGGAGGCAGGGTGAGCTTCACACCAGGGTTTTCACTTGCAGCCTGGCCTTGCTGTTCTAGGGACAACACCTAAGGTCTGACCTGAGAGCCGACTTAGATCAGCAAAGCGTTCCCGTGTCTAGACCCAGCACCCTCGGTACATCCCCACAGACACTTACACTTGACTTCTATCTCCCTGAGTCATAATCATTATTAAATGGCAGAATGAGCAGCACCCCAGACCTCCAAACTTACACAGTCCAAGCCCAAGCCACAGCATAAAGGAAAACCACACTCTGACTGTGGAAGAAACAACAGAATTAGAGCTCACAGAGAAAAGAAAATGTTTCCCCATGAAACACCCTTTTACCTCTTGTGGGTAAAT